CCATTGCACTGCCCTGTGATACCCCGCTTGTGACAGGTACAGATTATGATTTCGTACCATTAATCACTGCACACTGCTTGCGGTCATGTAGAAAGTCTTCTATCCACGCTAGGACATTTCCCCGAATTCCGTACCTTTCTAGTTTGATTTTTAGTCTTTCGTCGGGTGCTCTGTCGAAAGCCTTGGCAAAATCTTGGTATATATTGTCGATATTACCACCCCGTTCCAGAATATGGGATAGTATTATAATTTTTGTGAACTAGGTGTTCTGATTATTTTCTTTTCCAAGCAGCAATTATTTGGGCAAATTTAGGGAGATTTTCTTTTTGATATTAATGCATTAATTATGTAAGAATTTTCTAAAATGTATTTGCATAATTTTTTTTATGATTTACTTACACATTGTAAGCCTCGATCAGAGTAGAACGTTCTAGAACTTGCCAAACGTGTCTCGTTCCGACTCCCAGTGCTTGGATGGTGCTAGGTTGTTCTAGGGGCGTCTGATGAGGTATAAAAGTGATAGCGAGCTGCATATTCTTGCATCTTCAGAGCAAATGGCTCTCTTCTCTCCATCTCAACAGCAACAACAGGGGAAGTCAGTCGTCCGTTTCCATTCAGATTATGAAGTCCAAGCCGAATGAAAACTAAAAATAATTGTTCAAGTATTGTAGAATTGTTGTGAGCGATATAAAGTGAAGAGACTAAGGAATTGTGCACTGGTAGTGTGCTGGTTGTACTGTATATATACGAAGTGAGAAGCCTGGCTGTGAAAACATACCCTGTGAACAGTTGTATGAAGATTTAGTGATTATCAAAGCAGACTACAGTTCAAAAGTGTGTTTCTGTCACCTGGTGGAAATCTACCTGCTTGCTGTTTGTACACTGATACCGATCGGAGACGAGTGGGACGGCGAATGGTAATTCGACGACACTTGTGATATATACAGTATTTACTGCTTCTGTATATACGACCCGGGCCGCCGGTAACCAGCGGTGAGAGCTGGTAAGAAGTGAAAAAGAGGTTTCGTAAGAATATTAATTTCCTGGGTAAATGCTTATATTGGAAGATAATTGGGCCTCTATGGCTCACACTACTGTACTTCGTCTTTCTCGAAGGTGAAACGGCTTGGCGGCCTGATCTTCGCTCGTTATGTCATCCACTTTTTAAGAACATAGGAATAAAGGAAACTGCAGTGTGCCTATATATTGATCCATACTTGGCTTAGCAGTACTGTTTACACCAAATCCCTATCGCTCATATATCTGTTCAACCTATATTTGAAGCTACCCAGCGTGTTCAACTATTGACGATGTTCGGTAACTTGTTTCACTCATCCACTGCTTTATTTCCAAACTAGAGTTTACCTATCTTACGCCTAATAAATCTAAATTTGTCTACTTTAAAAGCATTGCTCCGAGTTCGCTCCCGGTGTTATAGTTTAAGTACCTTTGTAATAATTACCTTTGTTTAACCCTGACTTTACATTTATACACCTCGATCATATTGTCCCCACTCTACGTCTCTTGAGGGAGTGCAGATTCAGATGTTTTTAATGTCTCTAAATTTCAGGTGCCTCATGCCCGGGATTAATCTTGTCACTCCCCTGAATGCTTTCTAGGGATTCGATATCCATTATGTAGTACAGTAGCCAGAACTGAACCTCATATTCCAAGTGAGGTCTCACAAGCGCAAGGTATACAGTAGTTTTGAAATAACCTCCTACTCTTATACTAACACTCCTTTGTATGAACCCAAGTACTGTACTTTGTTAGCTCTGTTTCAGGCAAATACATATTGTTTTCTTGGTTTAAGGTTCTTACTTATCATTACCCCCAAATCTTTCTCACAGTCGGATTTCTTTGTCAATGTTGTTCATCTGATATCTGGTTTCTCTATTTACATCGATCTCCTAGGCTAAGTATTTTACATTTTCCATATTAGATTTCATCATCCATTTTTCAGACCATGCGACTTTTTTTAGATCATCTTGTAGTTTTCCTAAGTCCTAATTACCTGCCCTATTTTAGTGTCGTCAGCAAATTTACTTTGTTGCTGTGTACGCCTATATCTATGTCGGTTATGTATATATACAGTGTAATGTTTGCTGAGGCATAATTTATTATTATAATTTGTGTGAAAGGTGTTCTGATTATTTTCTATTCCAAGCAGAAGTTATTTTGTTAAGTTTGGGGAGATTATGTGGATGCGACTTCCATCACTATTTGGCATCACTTATTTTAAAGACATTGTCATAGAAAATTTCCTAATTGAGTGAGTAAGAATCACAGCACTGACCATTATGACTTCTTATACTTCGCTGTGTCAGGTTATATCGAGGAGCTGTGATCCTTGTTAAGGGATGTAAGTATTCACCATCTCCTGTTTTACTTTTATAGAAATTTAGTTTAAATATCAATAAAGTTGTATTTAATTAATATAATGAAAGCAGAACTGTAGCCTCATTCATTAATGCTGTTTCAGGCAGGACGGTCCCAAACCAAAGACATGACGGGTGATGCCAAGGCTTCCTCTACCACCAGGCAAGGTGAGCACTACTTTTGCTGCTCTTAGTGTGACACCATGGACAAGTATGTTTATTATATTTTGTATTAACTGAAAAAATCAATAATATCATGGTTGTTCCTGTTGGTTGAAGTGTACTATTGTTGGTTAAGATTAAAGAGAGGGTCGCCACCTTATCTTTATTTTGCTCCCCCCCCCAAAAAAAAATGGACACGATGGTTGTGATCTTATAAGTGAGAAAGAAAAAAAAAATATGGAATCTGAAATATATTCAGTTTTCCTTCAGAACTTTATGATCTTGCCATCAAAACTCCCTAACAATGGCAGATAACACGAACCTATTAAACCAAACATAATGATCTTACATAGCTAGTGATTTGGTTAGGGTTTATTGGTTACTGTCGCTAATCGTCGTAATCCCACAAAATGCTGTTGTTACGTAAGTACACTGCTAAGGGTACTACTGTAGGTTTTTAGTCATAATTTAATCCCCGAAGGACCGTAACACACAACACCTGACGCTTCAGGTATGTCCAAGTCAGTTTTATATATCATATATTATTTTTTTTGTATTTGCTCAGGAATCTTACGTCTCCACTAACTGAGTAAGTCGTCGTTACCTTCCTTATTGAAGATCGGGGTCATGTTTGCTGTATAAAGTCAATCTGGAAATTTTCTTGATTCGGTGATTTTTCTTGAGTGACTTGCATATATCATGAAGTCAACCAACTTCGGGAACTTTGAATTTTTTTATACCTTTATTACATGATCTTTCAAGTCATTTTCCATTCCAGCACCATGCATCCTCTTATAACTTTTTTACTTTTATTCTCTTCGCCACTGATCAGCTCGTTAGCCGCTTGGGCGGTCGGTCACGTCTCTGTTACGTACTGTTTACAAGAACTGGGCATGCACTGGCTCCTGAATGTATCTGAACCCGCTCCTCTGTGTTGGTCAAGCCTGGTCTTGAAAGAGCTCACACTCGTTGCTATCACAATACTCTCTGGCAAGTTGTTCCAAGAGTTCACAATTCTCACTTCGAAAAAGTTTGCCCTCGCAGTTTTCTGGCCTTGTGCCTTCTTCAATCTTAAGCTGTGACCCCTTGTGGGCCGGGCGTCCGCCAGCTCCAGGTATGGACACCCGACCGAGTAGAGCCCTCTGAGATGTTTATAAACTTCAATTTGGTCACCACTTACCCCTCTGTAGTATACAGCGTAAGCTAGGCAGGTGCAAGAGTTCTAATCACTCTGAATAACTGAGGTGCAGTAGTGCAGGCCCCAGTCTGGTGGCCCTCTTTTGGACGTTTTCAATCATCTGGCAGTCTCTAGCATATCTTGGGACCAGACGGGGTGGAAATACCCCAGACGGGGAAGTACCTCACTCACGAAGAGCGTCTTATAAGACTACTAGTTTAGTCGCTTTTCCAGTGTTTCTTGTGATTCCCAAAGATTGGGTCTAGAGTGTATCACAATATGCAAAAGTCTTTTTTCATTGTACTTTTTGCAAAATGGGACTGAATCTGGATTCAATCAGATCTTGATGATCCTTCCCGGAATGGGGCGAACGTCTCTTAGTTATCTGGTTGTTCCTTTAAAATATTCCTCCAGTTTGTTATGGTCTTCCACTCTCACGCGCTGGTAGTTATTTGAAGGAATCCCAATATTCCTACTTGAATGTTGTGTTTTGCTTTTCAAATAAAATATATCGTCGTAAATATGGTGCTCCCTGTCACGCACGAATTGTTCCCCAGCGTTTTCTTATTCACCAAAGACTCTTCAGTTTTCAGGGCCACAAACAAACACGAAAACTTAATTAAAATATTTTTTTACTGGAATTTGGAAGCATACGGTTGCATCCTCTTGAATCTGTAAATTTTATTTTCCGTTTGTGAGCAGAAAATATATACGAGTAAAGTTGATGGTGGAAAATTATAGTTATCACCTCCTGGGATGTTCATATTAAAGAAGCTTCTGGGTAGACAAGTCTCTTAAAGTTTTTAGAAAGGTCACTGGTTCACACTCGAGGCACCCCTATATATATATATATATATATATATATATATATATATATATATATATATATATATATATATATATATATATATATATATATATATATATATATATATATATATCTCAAGAAGGAGGGTGAAATAAATTTGTACGTAAAACAGGGGTAATTTCCCCACCAAGTTAACATGTTACAGGGAAGTCTGCCATATGTATCTTTAGTGCAATACATTCCTCTCTGTGTGAGTTTCGTTCACTTTCCTGGACTTGTACTATGTCAGACAGCAGTAATTTCCCGAGTTAATGTTCATTTATTGTGTCTTGTGTAATGAAAGACCCGTCTGACTCATCACTCTGTTACAGACTCATGAATTGCTATATTCTTAATTAGTTCCCCAATCTGTCGGGCTGCTGCGGCGTTAAACATAAGTAAATGTGTGTATTATTCCCAGCAAACTTAGACTTACGTGGGTAGTGGATGATGTTGCAGCCGTCTGGAGTGTACCCCATGAGTAGGTGACAGGGGGCAGCTCTGTGGTCAGGGTACATCACACTTGCAGCACCTGGAACAAATTAACGAGTATAGCAATAAACACGTCAACAGCAGTCAGCTGTCTTTAGAAGCTCTGTAAATATTGAGTTCAGCAGAAGTATCACCCCAAGCTCTGGCAACTTTTTCTGATGAAACTTACTAATATGTGACCTCATGCTGTGAGCACTACTACAGATCCTCATTAGTACTACTACAGGTACACAGGATACTACTACAGGTAATCAGTAGTACCCATAGATATGCTCTGTAACAGCATTACAGATACTCACTGATGTTGCAGGTGCTCACTGGTAACGCTGCAGATACCTAGGTATTACTGCAGATACAATTAAACAGGATATCGTGAACAGGTTAACGCGATTCGATGGCGGACCGAATATGGGGAGGAATTATTATTCACATTGCAATTTTAAATGCGGGAATCGAGTAGGGCTATATTCATTATTCTTCCAACTCCAAGTTTAACAGTTAAGAGCTAAATGTACATGTATATTCAGCAATATTCACTGATTTGCTGTTTTAGAATATCATATTCTTGTTAAACAGCAGCTATGGTTATGAAGGGCAAAGATAAGAGTTAATCTAGCTTTGTTCACTCTCTACGTGTTTTGGAGGGAAAAACTTACCTTGCAAGTTTGTGTAAGGGATCAACGCTGCTAGAAGAAGCGATGGGTAGAATATTAGCATCATCATTGTGGTGGACATCGATCTTAGCTGTTACAGGGAAAACAATACGTTAATCACAACGTTTTCTTAGTTCGACGTTTTTGGTTGCCGTTGCGATCTTTATTTATTTTCTTACCATTGACAAATATTTATAACCTTACACTGTTGTTATCGGAACTCACTCGAGGAAGGGTCAGGGCAAATTTGCTCCCGGGGGTTACCAGGCAGTGTAACCTTGTCTCATGCTAGCTAGGAACAGCTCTGTGCCTCTCTTAAGGCTGAGCTTCAGAAGGTCAGGGGCGAAAAGTGTGGCTGAAAGAAGAGATCTTGAGGCTGAAGGAGGAAGATGTGAGACGGGAAGAGTGTATCTGACGACACCACAGACCAGTGGAAGGTAGTGAAGAGAGAGGCGACTAGGCTGGTGGTGCCAAAGGCCAATAAACCAACAGCTAAGTGTACATCTTCTTTTAGTCCTTTGGAGGACGAAATGGACGGTAAGGTTACAGTTAAAGGCAAGGCAGACCATTTGATAAATAGGATAAGAAAACCTTAATCGTCGGTGATTCACAGGTAAGGTACCTGGATCGGGCGCTCTGTAATAAAGACAAATTGGAGAATGGGAGTGTGTTTGTCAGGAGCTGAGGTCGGTGATATAGTTGACAGGATGGACAATATCATGCCTGGTAATGGGAACATTCCCATTATCTGCCTCAGTGCAGGAGGTAACAATATTAGGATGAAGGGAGGGATCCCTGTCATATGTGGTGTCCTGCCTAGAAGGAGAGTTGGCAATGAACGGTTGTCAAGGGCAGTTGGTGTCAACGACCGTCTTGACAAATATTGCAAGACATATTAGTCCCATTAATTGGCATCTGCGACAACTTCTACAGCAGAAGGGACCTGTAGCTAAGGATGGGGTGACAACCATGGCAGGCTCTCTCGAGAGGGCAGTTCAAAAGAAGCCGAAGGGAACACGAGAGCACGGGGGTCGAGGAGACTGCAGTGGGCACGGGGATATATAACGAAAGGTTACATAGAAATCGTGCTAGGAATGATGATGAAGCTAAATTAGTCAGAGTTAAAGCCAAAATTCGACCGAGTGAGGACTCGGACCTCGACTAACTTAAATGTCTACTACGCGAACAGTAGAAGTTTGAGAAATAAAACATGGAAAGATCGGCTTCCCCCAAAACGTATAATCATGTAAAGGAATACTCGTGTATAATATAGTAAACTAGTTTAAAAAACATTTATTATATCCTGGAATTCGCTTTTTCTAAACAGTTGCGTCAAATTATTTTCATTAAAAGCTCAACTGCGTAGTACATGTTGATGTGTGGTAGTGGAGCAGCTGGGAGGATGGTTTATGAAAAGAATGATAGCGTATTCTAAACACTTGATGGTTCCCAAGCTGTGGTCACTGACACTTTTTAAAGTTCGGTTAATAAGTTTCACTAATGAACTCATATATATATATATATATATCTTGATAAAATCACACAGGGAAAAGGGAAACAATGGAGCACCTTAGCAGAGGAGCTTAAGAGAAAGGCGACGTGTTATATATATATATATATATATATATATATATATATATATATATATATATATATATATATATATATATATATATATATATATATATATATATGAGTGATAAATGAAACTTAACCGAACTTTAAAAAGTGTCAGTGACAACAGCTTGGGAACCATCAAGTATTTAGATTACGCTATCATACCTTTCGTGGGGGACTCTGTCGAAGGCTTTGCTAGAGTTGAGGCAAATCACACCATAATCGTGTCCATTGTCCACTGACTCGAAAACAGTTGAAAAGAATGTTAATAGATTTGTCAGATATGAACGCCCACTTGTGAAGCCATGTTGGGAATAATTGGTCAACTTGTGCTTCTCTAGGTGATTTCGAATTGAGTTTGAAATTATTGCTTCCAGCATTTTGCATGCAGTTGATGCTAAACTAATTAAATGGTAGTTAAAGGACCGTGATCTAACTCCCTTCTAAAAAATCGACATCACAATCGCTATCCTCCAGGATTCTAGTACTACACCGGTTTTTAATGACATGTTAAACAAGTTTGCTAAGGGCATACTAAGCTATATATGGGTCATAGCTTGCTAACTCTAAAATCCGATTGGCGATTGGAGCAACGTTAACAGTGGAGTTCCCCAAGGCTCAGTACTTGGACCATTATTATTTATTTTATACATAAACGACATAGATATCTGCGTAGACAGCAACTTAAGTAAATTTGCTGATGACATTAAAATAGGGCATGTAATTAAATATGACGAGGACTCCGCAAAACTACAGGAAGATCTAAACAAATTTTTCGAATGGTCTGAAAAATGGCAGATGAAATTCAACCTGGACAAATGTAAAGTACTCAGTATAGTAAAGTACTCAGTATAGGAGATGTAAACATGGAAACCAGATACCAGATGAACAATGATGTTATTGAGAAATCCAACTTCGAGAAAGACTTAGGAGTAATGATAAGTAGGAATCTTAAGCCAAGTAAACAATGTATATTTGCTCGAAACAAGGCTAATAAAGTACTTGGGTTCATACAAAGCAGTGTTAGTTACAAGACTAGTGAGGTCATTCTAAAACTATATCTTGCGCTTGTGAGACCACACCTGGATTACGCAGTTCAATTCTGGTCACCGTATTACAGAATGGATATAGAATCCTTGGAAAAAATTCAGAGGAGAATGACACGACTAATTCCGGGCATTAGGAACCTTAAGTTCAGAGACAGGTTAAAGCATCTTAATCTGCACTTCTTCGAGAGACGGACATTACAAAGGTACTTAAACTAACCACTCAGGAGCGAACTCGTAACATTGGTTTTAAATTAGACAAATTTAGATTTAGGCGCGAAATAGGGAAACATTGGTTTGGAAATAGAGTAGTGGACGAGTGGAACAAGTTACCAAATATCATCATAAACTCGAATACGCTGGATAGCTTCAAGCATAAGTTAGATGTATATATGAGCAATAGGAGTTGGGTGTAAATGGGACTGCCCAGTATGGGCCAATAGGCCCGCTGCAGTTTCCTCCATTCTTGTGTTCTTATGTAAAAGAGCCTGAGATATCGCCTGGACAAGAAAGCAATCATTGAATGTCTACTTTCACAGCGTTTTGTGGGGGCACCTGGAGACGGAATGGGGAAAGGATGCAGTGTACACTATGCGGTCAGATATTTACAGTAGTTTCATGATTTGACTGGATCAACGGCTTGTGTGGAAGAGGGAAGTACAGTTGTCCGTGCTGACAATGATATGTCCGATGCTCGAGTGATACTGAACACTTGTGGGCTGCCGCCACCTGCTTCATCTCACACTGTTGCTGCTTGTAGTGACTGCCTCTTTGTATGATAATTCCTATAAACAACACAAAGAAAGCTTTGTCAAATTATGTATAAACTTACTGAACTTACTAATTGTTATATCACAATTATTGATATTTTGCTCTCACAGTAAAAGCGAACGACTATAAGGCAGTTAAGGAAAATTGTCGGCCAGTGAACCTTTTGTTGTAGTAATTCAGGAAAGTGAGTTGTTGGTGGTAGAGCGATAACGCGCGTGTTCTGGGCCCTTATACCTGGGTTATCCATTGTGACCCCCAACAAACATCACAGGTTTTCTCCGGTAGTCCGGATTATGTGAAGATTAGCTCCGCTCATCTAACCTGACCTGACCTAACCTAACCTAACCTTACCTTAGCTAACCTAACCTAACTTGACCTGGTGTAACCTAACTTAACTTAACCTGACCTAAGATCCTAGATGTCGTTCAGGTATATAATCATTAGGTGAACTAGGCTGGGGCTAATCTTCAGGTGATCCATTTCTCATTTAGTCATCTTAGAGATATTATAAATTATAACCTAGCAAGAAGAGGTTTTTCTTGGAATTGCTTTCAAACTTAAAAAATACGGTGTTTAGGTTTTCCATATAATAAATATTCCATATATTCAACATATACTTGAGAGTTTGGAGGTTTATCATTCAGTTGTTATTATACAGGGTGTTCCGTAAGCACCTTTCATAAATTAGGGGGTGTATTCCTGAGACATAAATAAAGATAAATGACTAAATTGTCAATTCTCAACAGTTTGGGAGTTACGTAGGAATTTGGTAGGAATGTGATGAAACCTATGTGGGGTGTAACTGAAACATCCACTGTTGCTAGTGACGTTTATTAACAATAATAATAATGCCATATGATTTCTACTGGTATTGACATTTAGAGTAAATGTTCAAAGTTCCGCCCCTCAGCCCGTCGCACAAGTGACTTGCACACGTTGTGAATGTTTGTCACACTGCCCAGCACACGGTGCCACAGTTCCTCACTGTTCGGGATCTCTGTAACATACACCTTGCTTTTTATGTGACCCCACAGGTAGAAATCAAGGGGACTTATATCAGATGATCCAAGGACTAAACACAGTATTTTATCCTTGAGGTGACCGAGGTGGTTATGAGCTGGAGCACCATCATGCTGGAAGCATATTCGCTGCTGGATTCTGGTGGCCACATCCTCCAGCAGCAGAGGCAATGTGTCACCAAGAAAACGTCACATTCTTACCAAACTTGTCATGTGCTGCAAGTCCGAAACTATTGAGAAATGACAATTTAGTCATTCATCTTCAAGACGCGGGAATACACCCCTCATTTATGAAAGGTGTTTACGGAACACTTTCTATATTATTATATTATATCAACTTATAATTCTGAACTTAGGTTCATACAAAGGTTCATACAAGGCTAGCGAGGTTATCCTAAAGCTATATCTTGTGCTTGTGAGACTACAGTTGGATTATGAAGTTCAGTTCTGGTCACCGTACTACAGAATGGATATTCAATCCCTAGAAAGCATTCAGAGGAGAATGATAGGACTAATCCTGGGCATTAGGAACCTTGAGTACAGAGACAGAATAAAGCATCTTAATTTGCACTCCCTCGAGAGACGTAGAGTGAAAGGCGATATGATATAGGTGTATAAATGGAAGTCAGGGCTAAACAAAGGTGATATAACAAAGGTACTCAAACTATCCAACCAGGAACGAACTCGTAGCAATGGCTTTAAATAAGACAAATTTAGATTTATGCGCGAGATAGGTAAACATGGTTTGGAAATAGAGTAGTGTAGGAGTGGAACAAGTTACCAAACATCATCATTAACTCTAATGCACTGGATAGCTTCAAATATAGGTTGGATGGATATATGAGCGATAGGGGTTAGAGATAAACAGGACTGCGTAGTGTGGGCCAATAGGCCCGCAGTAGTTTCCTCCATTCTTATGTTGTTTTTTTATTTTGTTCTCACTTAATAACGAAGAATTTTCGTAAGTTTGATATTTCGTGAACGTCAAAAACACACACATGTTGGGAGTCTGTCTCAGTTCCCTAAAGGACAGTATTAAGAAACTTCAGATATACAAGTCGAAATGAATAATAATTAATTCTGTATAGGTCTATATTCATTATCTCTGTTGCAGAAATGATGATAACTGACATTTTCATAAAACCTGAATTATATTGGATAATAATTATATCAGATGCCCTTCGAAATCGAGGATGGCCGGCCCTAGGGCCACCTAGACGTGAATTTGTTTAAGGTGTAGAAGCTGTCGTCAACACAACAACCACACCCTAATTTAACGAGTTGCTTGACCCAGTAACAAGGAATAGTCCGAGAAGACCGGACAACTCACCAACTGCATTGGCTAACCATTACCCCGGAACACGATCCGCAAATCGAGTAACATCCATGTCCCTAATTGCTGCTGGGTAGACAGAGGCGAATGGCGTAAAAACTCGCCCATAGTTTGTATATAATGAATTTAGTGTGTGTGTTAATATGTAACTGTCTATAGCGTGTAGGGGTATCGAGATAATAAAGTTGTCTAGCACTCAGGATGGAAGGAAACTCTAATGTGGTTTTCTTGTATAATATATAAGTTATATGATAGACAGTCTGGTGCTGGAGATGCTGTGTGGTGAGGGGCTGCTTGGTAGAGACGTGCGGTGAGGGGCTGCTTGGTAGAGACGTGCGGTGAGTAGCTTGTTGAAGGAGGTAGATGTGCAGGAGCTTCGTTAGAGAAGATGCCTGTTGCTGGCCTCCTGGTTGAATGAAATGTTAACAGCGTGGAGCTTGCTGGAGGAGATGTTGCTTGTTCAGGAAAATGGGCAGAATGAGAGTTGGTTGGTGAGGAAGCTCAGGGAAGGACAGCTGGTGGGTCGCCATGCTCGCCGGCGGGAGCGAGGACCGCCAGGCAGGCGAGGAGATGCGAGGGGCAGCCAGGCAGCGGCAGAGGAGGAGGTGTTGCTTGTTCAAGAAGAATGGTCAGAATGAGTCTCAATGGAGAGACAGAGCTTACATACCCCGCAGCAGCCGCTTTGAGTCATGGTGGGAAAACCCGAGAAGTCGCCGGTGACTAGTTTCGTTGCTAAGATACGGTAACATCTGGTTGGTTGCTAGGGAAGGCGGCACATTGGAATGCGATACGCAGTTTGTAGGGGAGACGTCCACTACAATACTCCCCCTCCCCTCCAGGCGGTGTAGGAGACTTGTTGTTTGTAGAGTTGCTTAGCACATGTGAGGAAGACCGGGCGGTGCATGCCTCATGTGAGACAACGGCGATGGCGTGATGAGCCGATCGCTGAAATACAACTGTCTAGATACACACGATCTGTGGGAGAAGGGAGAAAAAGGGTGTGTGGAGGCGATGAATGTTGTGCTTCCCTCACGACAAGTACAGGGTCGTCAGATGCGCCTGCTGGGGGTGTGTGTGGGCCTGGATCAGGAGCAGGGGCTGGGTCAGCAGAAGCGGATTAGGGCTCGTGACAGCAGCTGGGTCCACGACAGCAGCAGGGTGCAGGACATTAGCAGGGAGTACCTGAGGGAGAAAAGAGGGTTTGTGGGGGTCGGGATTCAGGAACAGAGGCCGCGTCAGGGGTTATTGCTGGGCCGGGGTCGGCGTCTGAGGCATGACGGGTGTGCTGGGGTTGTCAGAATGTGGTGCGTGAGGCAGGAAGAGGAGCTGGTGTCTGCTTGAAGACTAGGAGCGTGATCAGTGTCTCCTCCATCCTGTGTGAGTGCTTATCTCCGGGAGTCACCATTGTAGGGGTATCGAATTATTAAAGTTGTCTAGCACTCAGGATGGAAGGAAACTCTAATGTGGTTTTCTTGTATAATATATAAGTTATATGATAGACAGTCTGGTGCTGGAGGTGCTGTGTGGTGAGGGGCTGCTTGGTAGAGACGTGCGGTGAGTAGCTTGTTGAAGGAGGTAGATGTGCAGGAGCTTCGTTAGAGAAGATGTTGCCTGTTGCTGGCCTCCTGGTTGAATGAAATGTTAACAGCGTGGAGCTTGCTGGAGGAGGTGTTGCTTGTTCAGGAAAATGGGCAGAATGAGAGTTGGTTGGTGAGGAAGCTCAGGGAAGGACAGCTGGTGGGTCGCCAGGCAGGCGAGGAGATGCGAGGGGCAGCCAGGCAGCGGCGGAGGAGGAGGTGTTGCTTGTTCAAGAAGAATGGTCAGAATGAGTCTCAATGGAGAGACAGAGCTTATATACCCCGCAGCAGCCGCTATGAGTCATGGTGGGAAAACCCGAGAAGTCGCCGGTGACTAGTTTCGTTGCTAAGATACGGTAACATCTGGTTGGTTGCTAGGGAAGGCGGCACATTGGAATGCAATACGGAGTTTATAGGGGAGACGTCCACTACAAGCGTTTCGAAGTCTTGGGTGAATTAAAACGAACTTCATTAATGTTTTAGGATATAAGAAAAGACTTTATTAAATTTTTATATGAGCTTTATATATTGCTAAAATCAATTGAACAGTACAAACTATTTAAATTCTATTACAGTATAGTGAACTTCAAATCATTTATTTAGGTGGTGCCGTAGGTATGAGTGCGGATCTAAAAACTACTAAAAACTCGATTAATTAAGCATGGGAATGTAATCAGCCTACTGTAAGGTCACCTTGTACAAAAAGTACAGCTAAAGTAATACACTCAAAAGCCCTAGATGCTCAGTAACAGACATTTTGTGTGACATTACTATACAGTAATTACTTTATCTTCTTTATGTGATCAGAATTCCAACTAACTGCTCATAGTTTCCAAACATTATGGCATTTCTCCTCACATTGATTACATTATTTACCGGATCATTTAATTATAGGTTATAAGCTTTTAAGATTATACCAATATTGCTTCTTGAGGTTAAATAGTCACAGTGAAGTGGTAAAACGGAGTGAAGGTTTCTGTAAAACAATACCTAATAACTGCACATAATGCGTCCAGTCTTGTGTACCAGTGCATACAAGTGATGGAGCAAGGGACCATGGTTGGTAACATAGCCATTCATTTTAGTTTGGAACCAAAAGTGTAGTAATAACAACGATGATGTTTATGTTTGACTCAGTGACTACAGTTTAAAAGGGAAGCTCTTGTTAGGGGTGAGGGACTTACGTTCATCGGTTCATAGAAACTCGTGTTACAGTTCAGACACCAAATTTGAGTCTCTGCAACAATTGTCTTAAGGACGAAGAACCTTAACCATATTATGTTAACTTTTGCTCATGTTATAGCTCGGAAGCCAGATATCTGGAGCCTAGTATCATTGGCGACTTTCCTCTTCTTCGGGAAAGTGTGTTTACCGGTACTCTCACATTGTATTCTGGAAACCAAATTGTTGACGGATGGACACACGAGCAAACGGGTGAACTGATGAACACACCCAGCCAGGTCATAAAACTGTCTTTAATTCTCAACCTCAGTGTAACCAATCAAGTTGAGGCGACGGGCAGCATTATTAGAGTCAACCAAGTTCTCTATGACAATGTTGTACACGTCCAGATCCTTCAGCCGAGAGTCTCCGTCAGGCAGTCTGAGCAACACCTGTAAAGAGACGATGATCACACAGGGGCTGAAGCCAAAGCTGGTCGTTTAAAAAGTCATGAAGCCAATACTTATATAATATGTTGATGGAAATACATAAGTTGCAGCGAGGCTTCGAGATAAACTGACTTTATTTTAAACTGATTGTCCTTGGGGTAAGTTTGGACTCACCCTATAGACTGAAAAAGGTTGTTTATATTAACATTTTATCTTCTAAATATACATGATAACATAAAAACATACTAATTTAAAGTCACAAATCACAGAGGAGCATTGTACCGAGTCATCTTAAGGTTTTCAAAATGCTGTTGGTCAACAAATAGCACCTGGAGCTGAGGAGGCAGAGGTGGTACTTGTCCGAGGTTCAGGTCAGGTCATTGTGAGAACAGACCAATAGAAATAGGAGGAATCAGATGTGACGCCACTTAGATTGTAGCACGTACCTCGGCTTTCTTGGCAGCTCATTGTGTGACTAAAAAAATCAGCGATCATTTCAGAAACCGAAGTCGGTTTCAGCCCCATGCCTGACGATGATTATCTTAAGAGCTTGAAGGAGAGAAGGATGCTGTTGATACTAGATTAACCTAGGGCATCCCAGCTTATTTCACTTGGGGATTAAACACCCTAATTCTACTTTAGGGGGTTTGAGTTAGGATTGATTATGATTGGTTTGGTTAACGTTAGGGTGATTAATTTTAAAGTGAAACAATCTTGGGTGACTAATCTTCACGTGATTCTAATAGACATTACAAAGCGTATTCACCTGCTTTTCTCTCAAATTTACTACTTGGCATGTGGGCTGATTCCAAGAAGGGTGACAGTAATGGGGTGTTGAAATTAAGGTTGACTGGAGTTAAGTTATACGCTATGCCCTCCATGCTACCGGTAGTTATCAGCAGACATGGATGAAGTGATTAAACATCGGATCAGATGTGTATCTAAAGACTTTGGCAGACTCCACACCCATGTGTTCAGCTGTAAGGAGTTTAAATTATCTAGAAAGCTGCATGTTTATCAATCAGTGGTCCTCCCCACCCTGATGTATGACAGCGAAACATGGGTCACAGGTTAAAGCATCTTAATCTACACTCCCTCGAGAGACGTAGAGTGAGGGGCGATATGATCGAGGTGTATAAATGGAAGTCAGGGTTGAACAAATGTGATTTAACAAAAGTACTTAAACTATCCAACCAGAAGCGACCTCGTAGCAATGGTTTTAAATTAGGCAAATTTAGATTTAGGCGCAAGATGGGTAAACATTGGTTTAGAAATAGAGTAGTGAAGGAGTGGGACAAGTTACCAAACATCATCATTAACTCTAATGCGCTGGGTAGTTTCATATATAGGTTGGACGGATGTATGAGTGATAGGGGTTGGGTATAAACGGGACTGACTAGTATGGGTCAATAGGCCCACAGCAGTGTCTTTCATTCTTATGTTCTTATGTTTCGAGTTTGCCCGACTGCATACCGAGGCAGACAAGCGCCAGTGCTCAGAAAGATGCTGCCACCGCCCCTCCTGCACTAGATGTAGCCCTCCACACGTGCAACATCTGTGGACGGCCCTGCCGGTCCCGTATCGGCCTCTCGAGTCACCTCAGAGTTCACCAACGAAGGTGACATCTTAAATAATTCATATCATGATTTCATAGCTGGATGATCGTCTTACTCGATTCCGAGTAACAGCAAAGTTGTAGTAGTTTATGTTTATGCATGAAGTCATCAGTGACAGGTTATACAATTTAAGGAGAGACCCTAGAGCACTGCCCCACGCCCCAGTTCAGCTCATCTCGTCATAACAATGTTAAAAATCTATAGCTATGACTGACAATGACAGAGGTTGCAATTTACGGAGGCTAAAGAGCACCCTAGCAGTAGAACGGATACAAATAATAATACTGTAATACTATTCTTATTAACGAGAGAGCCAATAGTAGGCAGGACCCACCTGGTACCGGCCTCGAGGAGCTTTCTTAGGCACAGTCATGGAGAGTTGGAGGGAATGGGTGCCGGGCAGCCAAGTCCTCAGGTCCACACCAGTTGAACCACACGTGTAGTAGGTGGCTCCAGAGGTCGGGTGATGGAGCACCAGCTGAAGCACAACAAATGGGACCACGATGAAGGACAAATGAATTTCTGACTTCTTCATAACGTTAATTTTTTACATTATTTCAATGAATGACAGTCTTCAGTGATAGTCGAGGCTTAAGGTAATTTCGACGTCATTTTGGATACAGCCTTTACATCATTTCTCACTTGGGCAAAATTAACGTATAAATCTGAAATTCCAGTCCAATATTTTTTATTGTGTTGACCTGGTCACATCCAAAGTGCTTTGATGTGCGCCAAGCGACGAATCTACAAATGTTTATTGTGAGATTGAGAGTTAAATTGAACACTACATAATCACTAATAAGTAAGGAAAGAAATCCTTAAAAGGGAGATAAACTAAGTATATTCCTTACAGAGATAGACTTAATTACCACTACATCTCCCTGTCTATGATAAATGGTCAAAGTCGGCCACTTCACAGACCTGTTGCCATGTGTGTCTCCAAGTTAACAACAAGACCTTCCCAGTGCGTCTCAGTGATCGACATTTGACGTAAGCTGATATTTAACACTCGCGACATTCAAGAAAGTAAACAGATTAGTTAGCTTCTAGAAGATTTCTTCATCAACTTAATCTACCTGTATGTGTGACGATGAACAAACTGAACTAGAAGATGTGGCCGATAAACTTGCACCAACAGGGTACAGTTACAGAGAGGAGGTAGGGAGGGGTGTTGGTGCTGAGAATAACACGACACTTGATCAGTTTACCTCGGTCACCTGTACTCACCTCAGCTGTCCTGTAGTTGATTGGGGCTGCCCATCCCAAGTTAATGATCTGCATGCCAACGTTCACCTTCCCTCCTCGTGACACCCGTCGGGGGAACCTCGCCCACTTGGCCACGAAACGGTAGCCAAGGCTTGACCAGACCTGTTGACACCAGACTTTGACTGACAAGATAATAGTTGTAAGGAAAAAAGATCACATGAAGATTAAACACCCCAGCTTATTATACAACGGTTAATACACTCCTCGTTACAATCTTGCGATGTCCCTGGTGTAACTTTACACTTGCTTACTATCACAAACGCCCTAAATAAGCAGTACTTGCAAAACTGGCCAGAATAGAGGACCGAATCCCCGAGTCTTAAGCTGAGTGTACTAAGGTGAGGTTGCATTCCTGCACAGTGTGTTTATCGCGTTATACCGTCTCATGTCTTAACTCTGTGTCTGTCTTGATCCTCCCAGTGATCTCATAGAAGTTGATCTTACTAGCCATGCAACATAGTGTTTTACAGCAGTAAGGTGAAATCAGCTGGGGCACCTAATCTTCAGGTGATCCTAAAAAGAGAAAAGAAAAAAGCTTGATAGTATGAAAGACTTGTTCTAGAAACTTCTGTATTCTGTGTCCTTGGTGGGGGAAATGATAAAGAAAAACAATCCTCTTCTAAAATAAAAAAATGCTCGAGTACTTTTTTCACCCATACATGTCAATTCTGGATAGGATGCAAATGCACTACAGGAGGATTTAAATAAACTGCAGGAGTGGTCAGAAAAATGGCAAATGAAATTCAACACCAGCAAGTGCAGCGTACTTAATATTGGAAGAACAAATACTGTCAATGTATACAGCCTTAACAACTTCAACCTAGAGAGGTCGACTTGTGAAAAAGACTTAGGGGTACTTGTAAGCCCGGACCTACGGCCTAGAAAACAGTGCGTTAATGTTCGAAACAAGGCAAACAGAGTATTAGGTTTTATATCTAGAAGTGTAAGCAATAAGAGTGCAGAGGTCTTATTGCAACTATATCTTGCGCTAGTCAGGCCGCACCTCGATTATGCCGTTCAGTTCTGGTGCCCTTATTATAGAATGGATATCAATTCACTAGAGTCGGTGCAGCGAAGAATGACGAAAATGATTCCGGGACTTAGAAACCTTCCATATCAGGATAGGTTAAAGAAACTAAACTTGGATTCCCTAGAGAGACGAAGAGTGCGGGGAGATATGATAGAAGTATTCAAGTGGGTGAAAGGAATCAATAAAGGGGATATGGATAAAGTTCTTATAATATCCGAGCAGCATAGGAGTCGGAGCAACGGATTTAAGTTGGATAAGTTTAGGTTAGGAGGGAGATAGGAAGGAACTGGTTCACAAATAGGGTGGTGGACGAGTGGAATAAGCTTAGCAACTTTGTAGTAAGTGCTGGAACGCTGGAAAGTTTCAAAAGGAGGCTAGATAGATTCATGGATGATAGAGAGTGGTAGTAACTCTCGACAGGAGCTGCCATGCACAGGCCAACCGGCCTATTGTAGACTCCTTATTTTCTTATGTTCTTATGTTATTAAGTAAGGAGCTTTATGTAGTGTAGTGAAGTGACTCGTTGCCTTAGTTGTTGCTTTATTTTGTGACACAGTATATACTCTCAGTCCACACCACACCACCACCCACACCGCACACCACCACCACACCACCACCCACCCACCACACACCACCACCACACCACCACACACACACCACCACCACCACCACACACCACACACACCACCACACCACCCACCCACCCCCCCACCCCCAACACACACCATAACTAAACTGTACCTCGTTGTAGCAGCTCTGTGTCTTCCAGCTGTTGAGAACACCTTCATGGTACCCGTTGTTGAGGTAGGTGAAGTGCAGCTCTCTCAACTCCTTCAAGGCCGTGGGACAGTCTGACCTGAGGGTGAGGGTAGGTGAAGGTGAGTGAGGGTAGGTGAGGGTGTGAGTGAGGGAAGGTGAGGGTGAGGGTATGGGTGAAGGTGAAGGTGTGGGTGAGGGTATGGGTGAAGGTGATGGTGTGAGTGAGGGAAGGTGAAGGTGTGAGTGAGGGTAGGTGAAGGTGAAGGTAAGGGTAGGTGAGGATGAAGGTATGGGTGAGGGTGAAGGTAAGGGTGAGGTGAAGGTAAGGGTAGGTGTATGGGTGATGAAGGTATGGGTGAGGGTGAAGGTAAGGGTGAGGGTGAAGGTAGGGGTAGGTGAAGGTGAGGGTGAAGGTATGGGTGAGGGTGAAGGTATGGGTGAGGGTAGGGTGAGGGTGAGGTTTATCAGTTACCAGAATCAATGTGAAGTTATATGACAATTTAGCTGAAAAAATATCTCTCTATCTATAGGTGGTAAGACTGACCTGGAGGAGGGAGGCAACAGGTCATAAGAATGGAGGAAACCGCAGCTGCCCTTATTGATTTCACATTGTAAGACTGACCTGGGAGAGCAGTTGCAACAGGTCAAGCGTTAGACTGACCTGGGGGGGTTGTAGTTGCAAGTCTCGCCACCCATAGGAAGGTATTTGGTCTCCTCCTGTAGGAAGGGATAGTCTACCGCTATGTTCTCGTAGGTGCCGTAGTCAGTGTCCGACGCCAGGAAGCAGTCGTTGTGGATTCCCAACCTCGCTACCTGAAAAAAAAAACATCAACTTTGTTAACTAAATTCTCCGGTCGAGTGCAAAAAGGGGCTAATATCACAAGAAAATCAACCCTTAGATATATGTTTCCAAGGCAAATACAGCTGGAAGCCCCACTTGGTCCCTAGCACCAACCGGAGGGAGGGTTAACTAAACTCACAACACTGGGTGGAGGGAGGGAGGGTTCTGTCCGATTACAAAAGCAGGTGTCTGGAGGAGAAGGTAGTGTTTACTGCTCTGTATACCAAGAAGTTAGTTAGATCATAATATTAGAGAAGTTTGTAGTCTGGGGAAGGATTTGTCATTAGCTCAGAAATACAGGAGGGACGTGTGTGTGGGGGATCATCGTAGGTTCACCTCATTGTAGGGATTCAATTTGTCTGAGGTTTTGAACACTGGCCGGGTTTGTTGTGTCTTGGTAACTGGTAAGTAAAGGACGCCACTAGAAATAAACTTTAGATTTTTTTTTTGTTTTTTTTACGTTTTCCTTGATCGAATTGACTTACTTTATACCACTGTTTGTTGTCTGTACTGTCTAGGTACAGAGGCGGAGGGAGAGAGGGAGTAGTTGGCGACATGACATGCACAGCTTGCACTAATGATGTATTGTAAATAACTCAATACACCAAACAACCACAATAATGCCGTAAAAAGTTAAATGTTTGAGGAGGCGTTTCCAAGTCTTACCTACACACCCACCCTCCTTCCTTCTCTCCTTACCTGCCGATTTTTTTTATAACTGTACATTGTTTGTATACCTCTATAATCTATGCATACTGTATACCTACATTGTGTAAATACAGGAATAATTAATGGAAACTTGTATGGCGATTTTACTGAATATCTACAGTATCCAGGATGACTGACCATTGTGTCGTGGTAGGCTTCGTTCTTGGTGATGGGGGAGGTTCTGTTCAGGAGCACTTTCTTGTACTTAGGCGTCCGTAACTGGATGTGCCTGTGGGGTGACACCGGAGTTTGTACAAGCATAAGGCATAGAGACACACAGTTACACATAGAGCAAACTAGTACTTCAGGGTTACTCAATTTTTATTGTGAGGGCTGACGACGTGACAGAGGGTAGCGCCCACCTTGTCCAATCTATTAAGTTTCGTCAAGTACAATTACATCGATAAATAAACAGGTATGGTTTATAGGACTATGTTTACTTTTTTTTGTTAGTAATGTCATTATTATGGCCGCTATTGAGAGATTTTAACGTTTATAATCTTTCTTACGACAAATGTAAATGCAACACCTGGAGGCCGGGATAGCGTTCATTAGCTGGGAGAGCACAGTGCCACGATCCATCCAGTTGGCTTGAGAGATGACTCCTTCGTCACCGTAGTTTTCGGTGTAGTACCACTCCCCCCACACCCCGATAAAACCAGCCTGCACCACTGCTATCACCCCAGCATGTTCCTGCCACACCAATACATAAAAGTTAGCAAGTTCATTCTTCATGCCAAACCAAAGTCAACTCTGCTTGAAAATATTATACGACTGTGAGTTACATGATATATTAAAGACCCAAAAGATATTAATAAAACACCCAAAGTTATATTGATGTGTCAGGTCTGGATATATTAAGCTTTTAATATCTGTGAATTCTACTGTGTGGAGAAAATTTTTAATAATCTGAAGGTTTATGGGATATAATGTTTTTTACTGATAAGCTGTTCACAAGAGGTGTATTTGGGTTCGGTAAGGTATCAAGCAGTAAGAGAGGAACTTATTGAATTGCTCACGTCCAGGATGGGTGTCAGCTGGTTCAGATGAGAGAGCAACTGGTTAAGCTTGGCATCACTTTTAATAGACTCGCTGATGGAGTAACAGAGCCTCAACACCACCTGTAACAAAAGCCTCGGTAAGCTTCCACAACAGTTATCAAGATTTCTTTTGCTGGCATAATTATATGAAGAGGAAAAATGTTTTGATGAAGATATAATTGGGTATGGGATATCCACCAGCACTCTTACACCATAGTTATAGGTTAAATCCAGACCAGTTTTAACTTCTTTTTGATCGGTAACGCATTTGAGGGCCGTAAAGTGCCTTGCCCTACCTTCATCCCAGCCTCCCTCAAGGTGTCAAAATCCTCTCCGATCTTCAGCAGGATGTCGTCGGAAATATTGCTGTTAACGAAGGTGTCCAGTATCACATATCTGAAAAATGATGTAGATGGTATAGCCACCAGAGAGAGAGTGAGAGAGAGAGAGAGAGAGTACATTTGGTGTAACAGTTCTTGTCACCTGATACCATAGTAATCTATATAAAATAACACAACATAATCGTCGATAAAATATCTATAATATTTAAAACTAAGTCAAACTATGCTTAAAAAGATTACACATCAACCTGTGTAGGTCTGCCTCCTCGATCAAACATTAAGAACTCCACTAACAGGAAATAAGACAACTGCTCCAGGAACCAAGGCTAGGCGGTAATAACCATCCCCTCCTTGATCCCTGCATCCTAAGGTACTCCAGACTAGGACACCCGAGCAACAAGGGGACCAGACAGTCTTCACACACACACACTAGCTGGGGCTCCTGGGTCATTATGTGGTTGTGTGTCAGTCTAGAGTGGGTAATGTGAGGTCTGGCCAGGGCTGTGTCCCATCAAGAGAGAGAGAGAGAGAGGTACCTAAATATAAGCGTGTAGCCTTGCTGGACAAACGACTGGAGATCTTCAACGTTGAGAGTGTTCCAGTTCGAGGTGCTGGTCTCTGTATAGGTGTAGAATCCTCTCTCAGGGTTGCCTCGTCCCGCACCAAGTACAGTCATATTCGGTTCTGACAAACACACGTAAACTGATACGTAAACAATGAAAAGGAGACGAGCCATGGCAAAATTAAGTAATTTATTGTAATATATAACAATGACCTTGACGAGTTCCATAATTTAAATAACGAGTTACTTAATGCACAGCTTCAGAATATATTACACAGAGAACTAAAATCTATTAAAAATGACCCCAAATGGATAAATAATTTAAAGAATATTATTGGACAAAGGAAGGCGAGAGGTAGGAGAATCAATCATGGTGAAGTTACCTCCGAGATTATTATAAAGTATTGCCCGTAGGGTTAATACCGAGATAAGAAAAGCAAACAGGAATAATGAACTGGAGTTAGTAAGAGAGGCGAAGTCAAACCTCAAGGGATTCTTCCAAATGTATCAAACTAAAACACGAGAAAAGATTGAACCAATACAGTCAGATACCGGCGAGCTAACTGACAACGACGGAGAAATGAGCAATAATTTGAACAAATATTTTTCATCAGTTTTCACCACCGAAAATTTAAACATGATACACGGGCCCTGGCTATATACAGAGATAGTGAAGAAATAGATTAAGCGAGATAGTAGTGACTAGTAACGATGTTAGTAAACAAATAGATAAACTAAAGCCTAATAAGTCACCAGGTCCCGATGAGATATATGCCAGAGTATAAAAGGAATGTAAGGAAGAGCTTAGTATGCCCTTAGCAAATTTTTTTAACATGCCATTAAAAACCGGTGTAGTACCAGAATATTGGAGGATAGCGAATGTGATGCTGATTTTCAAGAAGGGAGATAGATCACGGTCCTCTAACTACCATCCAATCAGTTTAACATCAATCGTAGGCAAATTAATGGAAGCAATAATTTCAAACTCAATTCGAAATCATCTCGAGAAACACAAATTGATCAATGATTCCCAACATGGTCTCACAAGTGGGCGTTCATGTCTGACAAATCTATTATTATCATTCTTTTCAACTGTTTTTGAATCAGTGGACGACGGACACGATTATGGTGTGGTTTACCCCGATTTCAATAGCTGCCCCCACGAAAAGTCAATACGTAAATTGGAGGCACATGCATCTGAGGTAACGTCACTAAGGGAGTACCATTACTAGTTATTATATACATAAACGACATAGATATAGGCGTAGACAGCAACATAAGTGAATTTGCTGACGACACTAAAATAGGGCATGTAATTGAATCTGATTAGGACGCTGCAAAACTACAGGAAGATCTAAAAAAAAATTTTCACATGGTCTGAAAAATGGCAGGTGAAAATTGATGTGGAAAATGTAATGTATTTAGCCTAGGAGATGTAAACAGAGAAACCGGATATCAGATGAACAACGATGTTATTGAGAAATTCGACTGTGAGAAAGATTTAGAAGTAATGATAAGTAGGAATCTTAAACCAAGACAACAATGTGTATTTGCTCGAAACAAGGCTAACTAAGTACTTGGGTTCATACAAAGGAGTGTTAGCAACAAGACTAGCGAGGTCATCCTAAAACTATATCTTGCACTTGTGAGACCCCACTCGGATTACGCAGTTCAATTCTGGTCACCGTACTACAGAATGGATATAAAATCCCTAGAAAGCATTCAGAGGAGGATAACAAGCCTAATCCCGGGCATTAACAACCTTGAGTATAGAGACAGATTAAAGCAATTGTTTTAAATTAGACAAATTTAGATTCAGGCGCAAGATAGGTAAACACTGGTTTGAAAACAGAGTAGTGGACGAGTGGAACAAGTTACCAAACATCATCATTAACTCGAACACGCTAGATAGTTTCAAACATAGGTTGGATGGATATATGAGTGATAGGGGTTGGGTGTAAACGGGATTGCCTATTAGGGGCCAATAAGCCCTCTGCGGCTTCCTCCATTCTTACTGTATGTTCCTACTTTCTGATGTAAGGTTGTTATAGTGAGTAAGGTTGTTATAGTGACTTGTTATAGTGACTAAGGTTGTTATAGTGACTAAGGTTGTTATAGTGAGTAAGGTTGTTATTATAGTGAATTAGTAAGGTTGTTCTACCATAAAGTGAGTCAGTGAGTATATCTTAAATGGGATCTCCAAAGTGTAGAGTTGCTGTAGTGCTCCACAGGTGTGTGTTTTACCTGGCAGAGATGTTACTTACCTGTGTATGTAATGTCGTAGCAGCCCACTGGAGTGTTCCCCGTCAGTTGGTGACAGGGGGCGGCCACCTTCCGAGGACACACATTATCGTTTCCTGTAAAATTTGTAAGAGAAATAAGGGATCAATTACATAGGACTTTAGTGGTATATTGTTTATAAGTCCGACATTTTGAGAGTTCATCTGTCACAACATTTCGATCGCAAACAAACATTTCTGACAAAAACTTTAATGTGTTGACTTTAGTGAACTCATGCCGTAAGCTGCAAAGAACTGCTGTTACATTTTGAGTACTTTATAGATTATTGATGAAATGATTGCTTGAACTCTTAAACAACTATTACAAGACCCTGTTAAAACAGTGTCAAGATACAGTAGTATTTTTTTTGTCAATGGACGTGAGAGGGAGCTACAGGAACGAGAAATACAGTACAAGGGATGATAGTGACGGATGATAATAGTTCAACTAAATAGAACAGAACTTGCGAGGAGAAGAGTTGACGAGATAATGAATGTGTGTTGAGACGTGAAGCCAGGGGAAGGGGGTGGGGTGTGATAGACTGGAGTATTGACCATGACACGAGTGGTAGAAGAAAGAACGTAAGGAGACATAATTATCTTTGAATGCAGAGAAGGGGAGGAGGACGTGAGGGATTGATATGTGACAAGGAAGAATGTTTTAATCTTGTCTAATAATGGGGTACAGGTCCTTCTTTTTGACCGTCCCTCGTGGCTGACACTGTACTGTACCTCTAAGGGAAGGGACGATCATCAGCTTGGATACCTACAATCACCTTTCATGTGTTTTTTTTGGATAGACTTAAAAATAAACATACCCAGAGAAACACTGCAATCGGCCAACGCTAACAGAAGTAGCGGCAGAAAGATTGCTCGATTCATCGCCTTGTTGGACGTCGATCAGCTGTTATTCTGTAACAAAACATCAATTAGATTTTTTTATATATGATGCACGAAAATACATGGAAAAGTAACATTATCGGGAATGTCAACTTGGTAATCAAATTCACATAAGTTTCTGATATATTATTTGCGAGACCTGTTTTAAGCTATACTCTGACACTATAAAATAGACTGACACATACTCTATCTACATTATAAAATACATACTCACTTCACGCGTATATACTTGCCGAAAGTGATAAACCTGAATACTGTATCAGATATGAGCTCAAATGGTTACCAGAGCTTTTGAGAGTCGGCGTGTGTGAGTGGTGCGTCCAGGCGGGTCTATTGCAGGAGGGAAAGTGAACTCAGTTGGACTGGAGCTCTAACACAATAATTCGTGTGTGAATAAAACGTGCTAAGTCAAGGTTACAGGTTAGTATGACAGATGGGCGATAATACTCAAAAGTTTTTATTTATGAGTAGAGTATTGTCCAGTCAAATAGTAAGTATATTAAGAAGGGGAAATTTAAAGTAGATAAACATACAAAAGAAGAAATTAAAAATAAAATTACAGAAAAGGGGGAAATTAAAAGTAAAAATACAGGAAAAATGGGAAATGTTATGTAATGTCGCCAAACACTACTTAATGACACCATCATCAACAAACTCCATTTAGGATCCACTTCATGCCACATAACTATACCATTCAACTTTGTTATGAGAACATCACCGTGTATAGTTGAAAGAACAGTATAATGGAAGATAATATAGTTTTGGTACGTCGAGTAATTGGTGAGGCGACAACATGGACCGGACTACACGCACACTACTACTTCTACTTTGCTGTCACTTGGAATCGAGTATGACGATCATTCAGCTATAATACATTGATATGAGTTATTAAGGATGTCACCTTCGTTGGTGAGCTCTGAGGGGACTCGATAGGCTGATACGGGACCGGCAAAGTCGTTCACAGATTTGAACATGTGGAGGGCTATATCTAGTGCGGGAGGGGCGGCGACAGCGTCTTTTCGGCGTTTGCGCTCGTCTTCCTTGGAATACAGTCGGGCTAACTCGAAAGTACTGACACCTTCTCGTGTGGTGCTCCTCCAAGGGTTACGGTGTGGAGTAATCGTCTCCCAGGTAAAGGGGGGGGGGGGTCGATTTGGCACTTTTTCAGGTTTGTCTTAAGACTATCCTTATACCTTTTTTGTTATCCGTAGAGAAAAGTCCGTTATATGGAAGTTTGATGTATGTCTTCATTTGTTTTCTTGTCTTTACTGACCACTTAAGTGGAGTTGTATGGCGACTTTATTGTTTCTCTTCCTCTCTCTCTCCCTCTCCTTCCGTCCGTCCGTCCGTCCGTCCGCCTGTCTGTCTGTCTGTTCCGTCTAATAAGAGAACCATCGGAAACTTCATTCTTTTCGCTCCAAACTTGCAATCGATCAAATCAAAGGAAGCTCGCGATTAATTAAGTCACACTGAGGATGGCGCCAAAATTTGTTTTCGAATATCTGGCAGATTTGAGGCTAGACTAATTATTTAGTCATTTTGAGCATAAATTTTAATCTAATCGCTACAAAATTGGACTGATAATTACTGATTTCCAGCCCAGAGGGTGTTTTATCCCCGTTATCCATACATTTTACGAGCCACCTTATTATACCCTATGCACTGTTAACTCCCGAGCACTGAATTCCTTATGCTAGTTCTCTTCCTTTACACGATTCCATGCGTAACTGATGCAGCTCTCATTTTAATATCATTTCCCATATTAAACACTCATTTGTTTTTATTATTATGCAATTTTTAAAGGGAGTAACGCAGCATTTAACGAACTGTAAAACCCAGTATCAAGGAATGACCTTAGAAAACCGGCCAACTCGCCAACCGCACTGGGTAATCACTACCCGGAAACGCAATCCGCCAGTCGTATATAAAGACGAGTGATGCAAAGCAACTTGCCGGGGATTCACTCAGTACTTACATTAAAGCGAATCAAAAATAACTTATATTAAAAATCGTTATGCATACTGAATATAAGTTTAATATCTCATCTTAGTCAACCAATAGTCTGATTAGTTTGTTCTGAAATCTAAATTATGTGCAGGAAGCTATTTTAAACCACCCATATAACCTTCGTATCACAGTAATTTCATAATCGTATCCTGTTGTCACTTTGCGTATAATGAAACATTGTTGCCACGGACAGGAAGGTAACACCCACTCCAAACTCCACATTATTGTTTATGCTTTAATTGATGTTATACAGAGGTTGCATGTGAGCATAGAGCTGTCTGTGTATTTTCAAATTATTTCATTTGTATTATATTGAGTGTAATTTACGTATACATACAGTATATAAGGGAAAGTAAAGGGATTTAATTTTAATAGTTTTCTGAACATACACAATAGGAGACATGTTGGATAACCATAATTTTCTCTCATCAACTTTCTTCTGTCCACTTTCTTTAAATGTTTTCTTGTCATCCCGTCAGATTTCGTCTGGTTTCTCTTTCGTCGTAACAGTTGCACCAACAGGTAACTGTACATACATATTTAAGATACATCTTGCGTTTTACCTTTACTTTTATTCTCTTCGCCACTGATCGGCTCGTTAGCCGCTTGGGTGATCGGCCACGTCTCTGTTACACACTGTTGGCAGTACTGGGCATGAACCTGTAGTGGACGTCTCCCCTACAACTGCGTATCGCATTCCGACGCGCTGCCGTACCCTAGCAACCAAGCGAGAGCTGACACCAGATGGTACGGTAGCCTAGCAACGAAACTACTCACAGGCGACTTTCTGGGTTTTCCCAACATGATTCATAGAGGACTGGCGGCTGCTGCTGGGTATATAAGCTCTGTCTCCCCATTGAGATTCATTCTGCCCATCTTCCTGAACAAGCAACACCTCCTCCAGCAAGCTCCACGCTGTCAGCATTCATTCAACCAGGAGGCCAGCAACAGGCAACATCTTCTCTAACGAAGCTCCTGCACATCTACCTCCTTCAACACGCTACTCACTGAACGTCTCTACTGAGCAGCTCCTCACCACACGGCACCTCCAGCACCAGACTGTCTATCATATAACTTATATTATACAAGAAAACCACATTAGAGTTTCCTTCCATCCTGAGTGCTAGACAACATTAATATTTCGATACCCCTACAATGGTGACTCCTGGAGATAAGCACTCACACAGGATGGAGGACGGACGGATCTCTCTGCCGACTTTCAACCACAACGTCGAGGACTGGCTAGACCATGTGGAAGCAGCCCTCGCCGGCTCACGAGCGACCGACGAGCAAAAGTATTGCGCCCTGCTCTGTGCCTTGCCCACGGAAGTGGCCACGCGGGTCTCACAAACCATTTCCAACCCTCCAGATGACAACAAATTCGCTACCCTGCGGGCTGCCTTGAAGACGTGTTATCAACAGACCAGCCCCAATCTCCTGCAAGATCTATCCTCTACCTCCCTCGGGAACTCAACCCCGGGACGTCTCTGGGAGGAGATGTGTCGGCTGAACTCCCGTCACACAGACAGACTCCCCGACTCTATCCTGCGCCAGCTTCACGCACAAAAGCTACCCACAGAAGTACGCACCATCCTGTCCGCAGTAGATTACTCTACGACACCGGAACTATATGCAACCGCGGCAGATAGAATTTTTAACGAGTGCGCTGCTGCACCCCTTGCCGCCACGGTCACACCAGTACCTACCATCGAACTTGTAAGCCGGGTCAACACCCCTCAGCCGAGCAATACCTCACAAGACATCAAGGACCTGTTGCAAATTTTGAACCGCAGGATGGACACCATTGAGCAGTTCTGCTCCTCCATACCCGCTGCTGCGCCGGTTCCTGACTCACACACTACGCCCTACAAGTTCCGACACACAGCAGCCAACCCCCAGCACAACAAATTTACCCTCTGCTGGTATCACCAGACTTTCGGCCGCAATGCTCGAAACTGTGAGCCCTATTGCACCTATTCGGGAAACGGCAACACCGGAGGCTGGTAGACGCCTCAGCCTCCGTCCCTCCAGGCGTCTCATTACTGCGCGTCACCGACCGCACCTCCGGCAAGAAGTTCCTCATCGACACCGGTTCATTGGTCAGCCTCATCCCTCCCTCACTACGAGACAAGTCAAAGCAACCCTCGTATGACCTGTTCGCTGCCAACGGTACCTCCATCGCCTCCTACGGCGTACGCACCCTCGCCTTAGACCTCGGTCTGCCCAAGACTCTGCGTTGGTTATTCGTGATAGCAGACGTGTCTCAACCCATCCTTGGTTTCGACTTCCTCACCTTCCACAAGCTCGGCGTCAAACCAAGTCATCTATGCCTCATCCATGAGCCTACAGCACGCAAGATCCAGGGTTCTCGTGCCAGACACACCGACACTATCACCTGTCTTGCGCCTTCCAACGAGTTCTCCTCCCTGCTCGACGAATTCAAGGAGCTTTTCTCACCCCGAGTCTCCCTACCCCCACCACCTACATCGGGAATTTTCCACCACATCGAAACCAAAGGACCACCAGTCTTTTCACGCCCTCGCCGCCTGCGCCCTGAGCTCCTGTACACAGCCAAAGTAGAATTCAACAAACTACTGCAAGACGGCATCATTCGCCCTTCAAGGAGTCCCTGGGCATCGCCTCTTCACATGGTTCCTAAGCGAACACCCGGCGAGTGGAGGGTGTGTGGCGACTACAGAGCCCTGAATCTCGTCACCAAACCTGACAGGTACCCTATTCCGCATGTCCAGGACTTTCACCACAAACTTCATGGCAAGACTATCTTCTCGAAGATCGACTTGGAGCGTGCCTTCCACCAGATCCCAGTAGCACCGGCAGATACCCAGAAGACAGCCATCACCACTCCGTTCGGACTCTTCGAGTACACTTTCATGAGTTTTGGCTTACGCAATGCAGCACAGACTTTCCAGAGGTTCATGGACCATATGCTTCGCGACCTCGATTTTGTCACCGTCTACATTGACGACATCCTCGTCGCATCTTCGACGCCTGCCGAGCACCGCCACCACCTACAACTCCTTCTCCAACGCCTGCAGAACAACAACATGAAAGTTCATCCTGCTAAGTGCGTCTTTGGAACCTCGGCCATCGATTTCCTCGGTCACAGAGTCTCGCCCAGTGGCATACAACCCCTACCACAGAAGATAACCGCGATTAGGGAGTTCCCCAAACCTGAAACGGCGAAGAAACTCCGAGAAGTCCTGGGTTTAGTCAACTACTACCACCGCTTCATTGACAAAGCTGCCACTGTCCTAGCCCCCCTACACGACCTTCTCAAGGGACACCCAAAGAAGTCTCACAAGTCTCTCATGTGGACTCAAGAGGCTACTACGGCATTCA